CAAGAGAAAAAAAAAACAGTTGAACTCGCATCACGGTTTTCGACAGATTCCCATTCTTTTCACTTGCCAACAGAGGACTTCTACAACTTCAGATGACTTCTAGCGAGAGAAAAAAAATTGCGGCTGTAGTAAATCATTATATCAGTGATTTTGTCAAATTATCTTAACAAAAATAGTAGAAATTCTCATTACTAATCATTACCGAACGTATCCCATGACAATTTAACGCTCACTGCGTGTTTATGCTCATTTCTTCGATTTTTTTTTTTATTAATTACTTTATTTGTACAGGCTGAATCGAATAAACAATTTCTTCGATTATATTTTATATTTTATTGCAATACCTTTCGTGGACCCTTCATAGCATCGTAATGTTTGTTTACTTTGCACGATAGGTAGCTGGTTTGACAGTTCAATAGGTAGACTTGGCTACACTCTTGGCGTGACTCATTATACACCAACTCTAACACAAACCACACAAGCTGATTAATATTGAGCTCCATCCAAAATATCAAAATATCATTCAAATCAAGTTCTGGAAGCGTTAAAGTTGTCCTAACCATAAGATGCCACGAAAGAAAAAAATAAACAGCGTTTTTCTCGGCTTGTTCTTTTCCACATGGGACTGTTATACGTTTATGGACAGTGTAGGACCATCAGACAAACGACACAAGCTGATTAATATTGAGCTCCATCCAAAATATCATTCAATCAAGTTCTCATTTGTGAACGAAGATATATGTTTATAATTTTGAACTACCGTATGCGTGATAATGTTTGCACCATCGTACAAATAAGGTTCCCGTTTCACCTGTGCATACAATGCCTTGGTTTTCTTTGCATGCACGTAATCTATAACTCATACCGTAGTAGGCTGTGAATGATTGAGAAAATGATTTACTTAGTTTGACAGTTGCACCATGACGAAGTGACAGCGTATTCGTGATTTGTCCCACGCGCAAATGTCGCAAAAAGACATTTCAATCGCCGTGGAAGTGTCCCGGTGGACCGTCAAAAGGGTTTTAGACCGAGAAAAGAAAGGACAACTATCCGCAAAGGTGGCCACAGGTCATCCGAGGTCAGCTCGGGTTCCGAGGGTTATCGCTGCTATCAAAAGGAAGATTCGGGTGAATTCAGTGCGTTCAATAAGGAAAATAGCAAAGGAACACGGGATCAGTGACTTTACGGCACGGAAGATCGTAAAGGAAGATTGCGGAGTGAAGTCGAGGGCACGAAAAAAAAACAACGATGCAAGAGAATCTTGAACTTCCTTAAGCGAAAAAATCCGGTAATCCTGTTCACCGACGAGAGCATGTTTATCGTCGATCCCGTAACAAATTCCAGAACCGACCGGTATATTAGTTCTCTTCCGGTAAAAGACGTGGCCGACTAGCACAAGAACGTGTATCTGACCAAGCATCCTGCTAGCGTTATGGTGTTTGGATTGGTGGCTTCTGATGGCAAAAAAAAGGGACTCGGTGTTCGTTCCAGAAGGCGACAAGGTCAACACGAAGGTCTACGTCGGGATTTTAAGTAAGTATGTTCTTCCGTGGATCAAAGAACAGTACGGTCCGAAGCCAAATGTTGTATTTCAACAAGATGGGGCTCTGTGCCACACCTCGAACCGAACTCAGAAGAGGTTGCAGGAACATCTTCCATTCTGGGCGAAGGATATGTGGCCACCATCCAGCCCCGATCTTAATCCGCTGGATTACTCAATATGGCGCGTCACGAAGGCCAAGGCCTCATCTAAATGCCACCCGAGTACAGCAAGCCTCAGACAAACATTGACCCGAACTTGGAGAGAAATGGATCCAGACTACATTATTAGAACCTGCCGTGCATTCCGGAAGCGTGTGGAGGCCGTAATTGCAGCAAGTGGAAACTCGATCGATGATTAACATAGTTTATAGTTGCTAAGACTTTGAGAAACATCCCCCCTTTAAATATATAAAAAAAACTCGAAAACGAAATTTTTGATTTTTTTTTTAATTTTGAAATTGCTCAATGGTGCAAACATTATCACGCATACGGTAGCTGAAGCTGCGTTCAAACGATGCCTCTGTATCAGGAAGCGGCAAAACATTCGTATAGCCATTTCGATGCTAGGATAACTTTTTCCAAGACAATTTTCAAGGATACAGTTCAAAATGTAAATATTAGAATAATACTTAAGCCCGAAGTCTATCACGACCTTCTTCAATTGATGCATGGTCATAGATGTCAGTCCTTTCCTGTCACAAAAAGAAATATCCGAAGCTATATCCAAGATAAGATTGCTTCTCTACGGTTCCATCTGTTATAACTGTTCCAGAAAGATCCTCGAATGCCTGAATTAAATAAAAGAAGTGGATTACAACATGAAGTACCTAAATACAACAAATTGAAGTACCTAAATACAACAAATTGTGACTCTTTATCAAATCCAACGGTACGTATGGAAAGGTGAATAAATTTAGAAGTCTTTCACAGAAAATACATTTCTATCAAACCTGTTCAAAAAAGAGAGGTAAAGCGCGGGTTGTGCTTAGTAGGACGGAAATTAGATCCCAAGCCCTATTACCATATTTTTTCACAATAACAAATCTTTTTAATCTGTAACATATTTTATTCTGTATAATTTCTTTATTATGATCTTTGTGCGGATCTTCGTAAATCTTCTTTGAGTTCATTCAATGTTAAGAAAGAGTTTGTTCAAAGTTTAGAATCTTGGAAAATGATTCAAGTTTGCTTTCTAATGAATTAATCTATTTAAAAGACCTTGAAATCCAGAATCTTGAAATTATTTAGTATGATTTGCATATTTTCTACAAGTCTAAAAATACAAAAAAAAACAAGTCCCAGTAGTGAGAGACAAACCTGAAAATTTCTTTAATGAAGTAACAATCACATTTTCCCAGAATTTGAATTTTTTATGCCCGTATCTACGTGGTAGAATGAACCACTTTTATGAATGTTCCGGATCTTCCGGAGGACGGTCCTATGGTCATCCAGGTTCATATTTATGTCACGACCCCAAATTATTTCATATATCACAGTTCGAAATGTTTTCGAAAAAACTTGGAGCTCTAGAATCAGTATCATGGATGGATCAATTTTACGGATATTCCGGAGGACGATCCCATGGTTATTCGAATCCATGTTTATGTTACGACTCCAAATTCTTTCTTATATCACAGTTCCGCGTGTTTTCGAAAAAAAGTGGAACTCTTGGATAAGTTTTATGGATTGACCATTTTACGGATGTTCCAGATCTTCCAGATGAAGGTCCCATGGTCATCTAGATACATGTGTCATGACCCCAAATTCATTCTTATATCACAGTGCCTGAAGTTTAAAAAAAACACCGTGGAGCTCTAGGATCAGTTTAATTTATTTACCTCTTGTACGGATATTCCGGACCTACCAGAGGACGGTCCCATGGCTAGCCGGGTTCATGTTTATGTCATGACCCAAATTCTTTCTTATATCACAGTTCTAAGTTTTTCAACCGTAGAACTCTAGGATCAGTTTCGTGGATTGACTACCGACAAACCGACATGAATGATCATACAAATTACAAAGAAATTTCTGATCAAAGCACTAAAATGACATCTACCGCCGTGTCCGTGTATTTATCCTAGCTACGAACAGGCATACAAAATTTATGAGTTGGTTCGTGTCGAATCTATTTCGGACAATTTATTTTTATCTAGATAAAACATTGCTATGGTTTTCACAGATGGGATCGCTGCACATTTGAATCGGCCGTTATGGATTCTCGAACAAGAGTTAAGTTTAAGTTTCATGTCGGTTTTTCGGTGGATTGACCATTTTAAGGATGTTCCAGATCTTCCGGAGGACCGTCCCATGGCCTTCTAGGTACATGTTTATATTAAGATCCCAAATTAATTTGCATATGACATTTCCAAGTGTTTTCGAAAAAACCGCGGAGCTCTAAGAGCAGGTTCATAGATTGACCACTTTTATAGAGGTTCCGGATCTTTCGAAGGACGGTCCGATGGCTTTCTGGGTCCATGTTTTGTCACGACAACAAATTCTTTCTTAAATCACAGTTCATAATGTAAAAAAACGCGGAGCTCTAAGATGAGTTTCGTGGATTGTCCACTTTCACGTATGTTCCGGATCTTCTGGAGGACGGTCCCCTGACCATCAGGGTGCATGTTTATGTCACGACCCCAAATTCATTATATCATCACAGTTCCTAGTGTTTTTCAAAAACTGCGGGGACCGTTCTGTTGTCTCCAGGATCCATATATAGGAATCATGACTGTATTCTGGCTAATTATGAACTCTTGTGGTTCATGGTTCTAGATTATAGATTTTAAGCCACTTGCAAAACCCATAAACACACTTTAAAACAAACGTGTAACGACCTTATTTTTAATTTTCTTGCAATCAAAATAATCTACAGACCCTAGGAATTCTAGAGGTACCACAATTTTTTGAAATTCATCAAGAAATGGCTAAATTATGTCATTGCAAACTTGCCGTTACACGTTTTTCGGAGGCGTAAAGTTTTTTACCCACCGTGTTCGGAGGTGGTAATTGAATCACATTTTAAATTCACCTTTCTGGGTTATTTCCACGGGAAACGCCTGAAGTTATGCAGCATTTCATATGCTATGCTTTACATATTTTTCCTTTGCGGGTGCTGATTGATTGAACCAATGAAATAACGAACTTTCGTTGAAAACAGTGAATAAAACCTAAGGATGCAAGTAATTGCTTCATTGTTTGATGGGAAAGCACCCATAGCATTAATGTACCTAATTTAAATTAATGAAAGCTTAAATTAATCCTCTCCATTTATGCTACAATTACTTTTGTCGTAGCTGAAGCATAAACCTGTGATGATTTCATATCTAGATAAGTGTGCTCTAGTGCTAAGCTACATGTGTGAGTAAACTCGCAGACATGCCATGTGACGCTTACTAATATTAAATTTATTCGTTACTCTCTCTCTCAGCTCCCTGTTCACGAATAATTCATCAGTCTTTGAGTGGCAGCCGTGTTGAAATGACGTTTTATGTTGTATCGTCCGTTTGTTCGCTTAATATAGTTTGAGAGTGAATATTTATTTTCTATCTGTGTGTGCCTTCTTCCATCTTTTCTACTGCCTTATTTGCTTCCACAAACGGGAAATATAGAGATACACCATCCTGGGCACAACAAATTGTGAAAATTGTGATACTATCGAGTCGATTTCTGCCTAAGAATAAGTGTGATTTTGGTGCAGTGAAGTGAATATATCACACCGTGCTGTTAGGTGCAGAGGCATTTACGAAAAGCTTCATAGGTGCGGTGACCTTAAAACAGTGTGTGATGTAAGCAAACCTCGTATACATACTTCTTAGAAATATTAATAAAGCAAAGTGGAAACAAGAAGTGCCTCAAACGGGAGAAGAGAAATTCATCACTGGCATACCGCTGACGAGTCACGGTAGTGAATTAAGAGGAAACGAAGCACAAACAAGTAACCAAGGATACTAGTACAGCTGCTGTTCCAGAGTTCCGGAAGCGATGATACACGTAGGCGACAACACATGGAACCTGCGGGTCTTCATCACAGACCTGCAGGTCGAAAAAACACTGCGAGTTCGCGGAGATCTGCACATTGGTGGCGTCATGCTCAAGCTAGTCGATCCAGGTAAGTGTGGAAAGGATGGAATCCAACAATGATGACATTATTTAGATTTTAACGAATGTCGTGTGCTGATGGCTGCTCCTGGCTGAGCAGCCAGCTTACTGCCATTTGCGTAGAATGTTCGTTCATAATCTACACTGAATAGCGAATGCCACCTTATCTTATCTACGTGTGTTAAGCACAGTTTGCATTTCAGTTCGTATTGGAATCCATGCTTACAAGGTATAGCAAAAGAAGGTGTTTAGCTTGCTTTAAAAGTTTAACTTAACAAAATTTTAATTTTAATCGTAATTTATATTTCTGATAAGATATTAATTACTACCAATGCATCGTTTATATTGAGATTTTGCTATGAGCTTGACATAAATATAAGTAATGTTAAGCAACAACAATATAAATAACAACAATTAACGATCTAATTGAAAAATTTTGGCCTCGACCTAAAATTTAAAATGATTGCCACATTTCAAATTTCCTTTAATTTATATCTCGGACATCCGGAATAGATTTTACTGACTTCCTTTAAAAAAAAACTATTCTCCCTTTGTACGCCCCCACAATACGTCGTCAGCTATTTAGAATAACAAAGTTTTATTTGGTTCGAAAGATTTCATGGTGAAGACCTGCCAATAAAGCGAACCGCCTATAGGAAATTAGGCAATCCTTATCAATCTCTGTCACTCGAACGTGCTAAACGCTCGTTCCTCATTTCCGATATACCTAGGTCTCTGACGAAATCACCTCGCGCACACCGTCAACCGGATGGGATATACAAAGCGGGGGAATCTAAAAATATAATTTTCGTAATACACGATTAAAATTCTCGCTTGATCGAATCCATACTGCGGGGATATGTAGTATAATATCATTTGGAAAAAAGGCAAACACAACAACGCCAGTGTGCCACCTCTGTGCAACGGCACGCCGCACCGTAGATTTGCAGAGGGCTACGAGTGTGGCCATAGATCAGCCAAGCTCTAGTAATAACTACAAGACGTGGGACAACAAAACCGCAGTGAGCGAAGCGTGAGTGTGGTGTCCGTGAAATTTGTCCCACGTAAATTGTTCGAAAATAATAGCTTTCGACCATATGTGGGGTATCGTAGTTCATCTGCCCGCTCAAAAAGGAAAGGTCAAATAGAAAAACGTTCTTGGACTGAACAGAAATTAGAACACTAGTAGGTACGATTCCATATTGCAGCAGGTTTACTATATTGTCCTCAGTTGCAATTGCAACGCCCCAATGCTATATACAGATGCATTTTGCATACCACATCGATATACCTATAGGAGATGACGACATCCTATAGGTACCTACATGCGCACGATCGCGTTTTCGCGGGTTGTTGTTTGGTTTCAGCTGCCTCCGATCTTAATGGTGCAACAGGCAACCTACACACGACAGGAACTCTGCACTGCACTAAGCTGCATTGGTGTGTGCTGTCTAGCATCCGCCAGAGCGGCGTGTGAGTGGATACTAATTGATTATTGACTTCATTTTATCACACATGACACGTACGCCGCATTCCTTGGTCGAAGTTTACATACGCCGTGGAATTGAGGGCAATCGAAACGTTTCGTTCCATTAGAATTTTGATAAAAAGGGTATGAAAGCTTTTAACGAAAACAAATAAAATAACGTTACTGTATAATTAATTCCTAACATTACTGTTATAAATAACTTTTTCAAATCATAGGACATGTCAAATTTGTGTGAGTCTCTCTCTTGACTGCTTTTTCAATGCCTCAGAATCCTTTAAAAAAATTACAAATCCTGGATTTTGAACTTCTGTCTGGATCTTGAAAATGTTCCTAAATACCTCGATAATTCCCTTGAAACTCTTCATAGGATTTCTTTGGAATTTCTCAAGAATTTACTCAAGTTTTATTTCAGAATTCCTCTACGACTCTTTGATAATCCCTTCATATCTTCTCTTCTTATTCTCTTGATAATGCCTTTCGATCTGTAATTCACTCGCGTAAGAAATTGCATAAATTTGTAGCAGACTTCTGCATGAAAAGTAAATATATATTTTTATAAAATCCACTTGGAATATGATCCTGACTATCCTTGACATACCCTCTAGAGCTCCTTGGAGTTCTTATCAGAGTTCCTTAGATTTCTTATTATTCACCTCAGTATTGCCTTGATAATTTGCTCAGAATCATCTGTATCTCCTATGCATGATGAACCAGTGCGAACAGAATTCACCATTGTTTTTCAGTTAATGTAAATTACATTCATCATGCATAAGAGATACAGATTGGAGTAATACAGAAAAGTGGTAGCTAATATCAAAACCTAAAAAAAAACTTCATGCATCGTTTTACGGAATTCCGTTGATGAAAAAAGTTAGAGGCAAATGAATGTAAATAAATTCACAAAAAAATGTTAACGATTTTCCAAACCTGTTTGTAACAATAGCAACATTTATTAAGTCTATTTTAAAGAGCGGCGCCGGTGGTGTAGTGGTAAGCGTAATTACCTCTCACCCTAGCAGGCCTAGGTTCAATCCCAGTCGGCGCCGCCGGGATGTTCTGAGGCATAACATCTCTGATCATGCCTTCCATGGGAAGTAAAGTCGTTGGTCCCCGGTTTATGAGTTGATGGGTCGAAAGGTAGGGTCCAGATGTGGGAGCTGCCTCCCTGGCGTCGGTAGCATTGGACCTCAGCACGGAAAACAAGATCGACGGAAAAAACAAGGAAAGGAAGTCTATTTTAAAATGTGATTTATACATCTCACAATTCCTTTGGAAATATCCGGAGAATTCGAATACCCCGTATCAGAATCACAATGACATACCAGAGCTACCTTAGAATTATCTTGGAACACTCCTGATAATTATCCTGAATATTTTTTTTTTAATTCTCCGTACGTATTCTCCAAAACTTCCTTGTAATTCTTCTGAGAATACACCTCCTTTCAATTCTTCACACTTTTTCATCTAGGCAAGCTTTTTTCGAGATGGCTTATGCGATCAATATGGATATCTGGTTTGAAAGACACCATCGCCTCATTGATCGCTATTGATTTTTATTGATATACCTTCTGGTTCCGAAGATATAATGTCAGGGTTGGTAGCAGGTCACTTTTTAGTGACTTGGTCACTATTTTCAAGTCAGCCACTTAAAATTCACTTTTTTCATCAAAAAGTCACTAAAGTCACATTCCTTAAAATGCAGTCACTTAAGTCACTTTTTTCCGACCAATATTGAGAGTAACGAATCTGACTTTATAAACTTATATCAAATCACAGCTCGATTTGGCAACAAATTTGTGTTAGAAAGATTCATTAAAAATTCGTGTGTAAATTCTTACTGACATGAAGAGTTTGCGAACAGACGGAAACGTTAACTGTCAAATTAATGTTGATGGACTAACTTATATTTTTTTTTTAATCTCGAAATTGTCATAGACCTATCACAAATTGTCAGAGGTTTCGACAAAAAGTTCTAGACCAAATATTCTGGCAATTTTATTTCGAAATCTTGGATGTTTTCCTAGCCTTAAATGTCAAACAATGGTCTAGGAAAATTTTCAAGCTCTCGCCATTTTTTCAAAGGCCAGTAATTTGACAAATCTTTGAAACCCGGTAGCTTTAGTTTGTCCAAACATCGAGAAAAAATGATGTCACAGAATCTTGAGTTCCTTTTAAATCCGTTAAATTGTATTGTATTTTTTTTCGCATTAATAATCGGATTTTTCCTCTGTTCCTGACCTAAGGCCGCGACCAATTAAAAAGAATCTTATTATTTATTAATAGTCCTTGCGTGAGTCGCATCCATTCTCAACACTTTTTCATCTAGGCAAGCTTTTTCGAGATGGTTTATGCGATCAATATGGTTGATATCTCGTTTGAAAGACACAATCGCCTCATTGATCGCTATTGATTTTATGTTGATATACCTTCTGGTTCCGAAGATATAATGTCAGGGTTGGTAGCAGGCCAAAAAATGTCTACGGTCCACACAAATTTTCAAAAAAATTGGTCTACGTAGTTTATGAACAGTCCCTTTGCGGTGTTACAGAAGATGTAATGGCTATAGGGGTTACAAAGAAAAGACCGATTTTTTTTTATTAAAATGCTCATGGCTAACTTAGATCTACATTTAATTATAGATTGCAGTTCTTCACGTGGAAACAATTTACCCTCCCCTTGGCTAGTTTTTGCACCTTGCTGTTGGTGGGCGGGCTTAATTTCATGCTTTATAGCGGAGTGTTGGAGACGGTAGGTTTATGGTCGGCGTTGCTGGCTCATGCCGCGATAGAATGGCGGCATGGGCAGGCGATGGGGATTACTAAGCTTCCCCTCTCTGATAAACCGCTGCATGAGAGAACCAAAGATCTAGTCTAGCAGTGATAGTATCACACTTGTTACTCCTTTTATTGAAAGCCGCGTCGTAGTACGCTTACGTATAGGCACTGACGTTGGGTGTGATACTGGCGGGTTTTGCCGCAAATCACTCTTATTTTATTTATTTTTTACGCAGATAGATTTATTTGGGTTTGCAAGGGAATTATACTATTGAAATATTTCAGAAAGTGCCCAACAGTGCTCCTTCTATTTGCGTGACAAGCTTTCATTGTTATTTTCATTGAAGTATTACTCAGAAAACAATGTTAAACATCATTTTTGTACATGGTATTGTAACTAATCTTATATGTGCTTCATTTTGATTTGGGATAAGTGTTTGAACTATGGCTCGGGATTTCCACTGTGGTGTGCTTCTATTGTGACATACCCATATGTATTTTTGTGGGGCCACATAGTGGAAACGTGAGAGCGTAGTTGGAACATTTACCCTATACAATATACAATTTAAAATTAGCTTGGAAACTAACTTCAAAGTGAAGCATTTTAGTCACTTGAAGGTGTCATCTGGGACGAACAAAGATATAAGATAAGATATGTAAAAGCCAGAAGTACTTGAAACACGTTAAATTGTAATTTAAAAGCATGGGTTATGTAGGTAGATTAGAGATTTCAGTTATTTATTAAAT